TGCACAAAGCCTGTGACAGAAAGAAAAAAAAAAAGCTCTGGTTTTTCCAAAGCCCATGTTTACTTCTTAACCCATCAACATTTCCTCTGCTACAGAGGAAACACGGTCCTTATTTCCATCAACACCACTTTCTCCTACTGGAGCTAAAAAGAGTAAAATCGACCTCTATTACTCCTTAATTATGATCTAAAATTCCAAGGTATAAGGAGGTTAAGCATAAGAAGAAAAAAATTAACTTTTTCCTCAAAAGAGAAAATAAAATATATAAAATCTTCCACTTTTTATCTTATTTAACATGCACACTATTTTAGGCTTCCACTCTAAGGTTCTTCATTTTTATTATTATTGAAGAATTGAATATAGAATATTCAAATATAGAATTGAAGAGTGTCATCCAGATTAGGACTCAATTTTCTCACTAGGTACTTATAATTTATATTCCTATATAAATATCAACATAAAAATCCAGATTTCACTGTTGAGTACCTAAGATACCTTTGTAATATAAATGTTCATTGTAACTAGAAAAAAATACATATCTTTAAATTGTTATATAAAATTGTGAGATCTAAGAAGGGGTTTGACAAAGGCAAAAAATGCTGAGGAATTATAGCTCACATCTGACTTGAAACCTGAAACTAACATGATTTGTCACAAGAGGTTCTTTCTTCCACTGCCATGCAAAAATGCAAGAATATAAAAATTCTTGAAATATAGTGACCCAGTCTACAAAATATTATGAGTTATAGAATGACCCCATAAAAAGAGATTTTTTTGCTATGTTATTTTAATGATGCAAGGTTATAAGTTATTGATTTTTACAAGATATAATCAATTAACACTTTTCTGCTGTTTATCTCATAAACCAGAAGAATTTTGTAATTACTTTGGTACAGATTATTTATCGAATGTTTATTCTGTTTTCACTATATCATTAGATAATTATTTAGAGAGAAGTTAAGATTTCAGAATTTGGATAAGTGGCACAACTATGAAAATTCAACAATCAAATAATTTTATCAAAATTTCCACTTTATTATATCTGTCTCCAAAACTTTACATTTTCTGGTATCTGACTGAATTTCCCCTAAGAGAAATGGCACAATTTCACTGAGGGAAATAGCAACATGAACATCAGAGTCTGTGTTATACTAAAACCATTTTGGAGTAATACAATTTTTCCATTTGAAAACCCCATACTTTAGCAATGGTTTAACTAACCGTATTTTTTCCTAGCAGCCAATATTTTCAATGCAGTTATACACTACCCTTTAAATTAATCTCTTGTTGATTTATTGAAGACAAATTAGTTTGGTAGTAAATGTACGTCTATCAAAAATACAACAAAAACCTACTACCAATTAAGTGCAGTATGTCATGCAAGCATTAAAGACAATGCTATTATAACATGATACAAGTTCTATTAGGAGAAATAAGAGCTACAATTTTATTTAACTATAGCCCAGCTCTCTCAGGTACTTCCTGATCAGGAAAAGTGCAACTCTCTCTCTTGAAATTCAATTCAATTCTCTCTCTCGAAATTCAAGTACTTTGTCTTTTTCCCCTTTTTCTTTGTGACATAACAACTTTTCTGGTTCCAGTTAAAAAGTAAAATAAAAAATGTCAATAATATCATCAACAGGGAAAAATATTAAAGCCTTTTTTAAAAATGAATCAGGTGCAGATATTGAACTGTACTTTCTCATCCTTTGTCTCACTTTTCAAATGATAATTTCTTCCACAGTCACCATTAAATCTTGATCTATTCCAGCTCTCTGTATGGGTCATTGATTCTAGATGTACCATGGTTATTTTTAAATGTTTCCCTTTCGTAGAGAAAAAGAGGGCTGTCTAGAGCCAGATGGGTAACTTCACACTTCATTTATCAAACCCAATGCATTAGACTCCTCCCTCTCTTTCCCACTATTGCTGTTAAATTTCCATATAATTTGGTAACAATTTTCATTATCATAGAGTGACCCTAAAAAGTCTATCCAGGTTTGCACGGTTAGTCCAAAATTCACAGCTGTTCCCTTCACCCTCTGTTTATTACAGTAGAATCTGAGGTTCCCCTACTTTATAAGCTGAACAGTGACCTTCTGTAAGCAGAGGTCAATAAGGGGTCAGTTCAAAGGGCTAGAGCAGCTCTTTAACAGCTATAACAACCTGTCCATCAGGCATTATCATGCAGTATAAACAAATGTGGGGCTTTGGAAACTCTGGACCATTTCTGTTAACACTCAGAGGACAGTCACTGAGTCCCACCTGAAGTATTTTGGATCACTACCACTCAGAGAACAACCTGAATCCCTGGAAGACCTGCTCAGATACTTAAGAGACTGATGACATCTTTGCATCACAAGTCTATGAAATGGTGAGTGCAACACTAAGCACACTACCATGAGTTTTGGGCTGTGAAGCTGAAATAAAATCTTAAAGAGTCATTTCAGCTCATTAATATGCAGAAATACTGGTACAACTTCAAGTAAATAACACAAAAACATGCTTGAACTCAGTAGGTACATACCAGAAGAGTTCATATTCCTTTCTCTGGGAAAGGCTAAAAATTTCCAAAAGTTCAGTCAGTTTGTGTTACCAATTCCCAACTTTTTTTTAAAGTCAGGTGTTAATGACACAAATAAAACACAAGAAAGAACAGAATGACTACATAACTCTACAAAGACCAAGTGCAGAGTGAAGTTTTCTGCCAGCTGCCCTCCCTTCATTGACCTAAATTTCTTGAAGTTGTACTGTTCATAATCTGCTCTCTAATGCACAATGTAAGGTAATTAGAGTCATCTGTATTTAACTTCCACAGGAAAAAAAATTCTATTATCTAATCTAGCTGATCCCCTGATAGCCTGTTGAAAGTAAAGTACTGTAACCTATTGCCTGCCCTTTGACAAGTGCTAATTATTTCCTGTCCAAGCACATTTTTCTCATGTAATTCCAAAGTACACAATAGACTGATCTCTAAAACATGGGCAGCCCTGCTCGTACCACGGCGGACGTTTTATAACTTTCAGCACGGTGTGCTCCATGGCTGCCACAGCCAGTGTTTCATTCCAGACAGCGAGCCGAGGCTTTGATGGAGCCAAGTGAGGTGTATGGTAACAGTCTCTTTACGCAGATCATATGGATGAGACTCCCAGATAGGTCACTGGGATGGGAAACATCAAATAGAAAGAAAAAGGATTATGGATGTTTAATACTCAAAGGACACTTTCTTTCAGAACTTTCAAGGCACAATGCTCTTGAAATTTTCTTTCAGGTGTTTAGTTTTAAGAAGGCCTGCACTTCATCTGCTTGTGCCTCTCCCACCCCCAAGAGCTGCAGCTTTGCTGTGTTAGAGGCTGGGCTACGTCTCCAGCTGCAGCCCTGGCTCCAGCCCCAGAGCTCCCTGTGAGCAGCAAGTGAGGCCAGGCACACTGAAACCCACAGCACTTCTAAATTACTCCTTATTGCCATGATTGCTGATGACTTTGTGTATTAGGAAATCATTGTTAGACAAAATGAACTCTAAAACGGTATTCCGCTCATTAGAAGCTTTCTGTTCTGTTTCACAATGAAGATGCACATGTCCCACAGAAAAGCTTTAAGTGATTTCCTCTGTTTCCAACATAGCTCAAACATTTATGTTTCCAACATAACTCAAACATTATTTAGTAAGCATGGTGACGGAAGGCAAAAAAACCAAACAACGCCCCTCCCCGAAAAACCCAACCAAAAGAAACAAAAAAACCCACCAACAAAACCCCCATAAAAATCCCTTAAAATGTTCAAGAAAAAAAACCCATAAAGCCCACATGATAATTTGGAAAATATTTTAGAGCCAGCTTACTCTGAAATCTTAAATGTGCAGCATACAAATATTACATACTCACTGGAACACAAACTTATAAAACACAACCTGTAATTTATAAAATAATTATGTGTAATTATGTTTGATTTTTAGCTAAAGTCTCTAAAATGTTCCAGCTTCATTTGCTGTAATTATTTGGAGCAGAAAAGATACCCAAGTGTCAGACCCAAAATCTACAGATAACATTTTAAAAGCAATCTCAGAGTCTTCAGGAACTACACCAATAAAATACAAGATATCTCCCTTGACTTTAATTAGTGCAGGTAAAAAAATCATACCAGTTAAATGCTAAACTTAAATAACAAAACACTGATTTAAAAATACTTTTGGCTAAAACCTGTATTTAAGTGTAAGTAAGGAATTTCTCCTGGTTTTAAGTAAAAACTGCATATTTGGCATAACAATTTAATAGGCTGCTAGATATTTTATATTAATATCAAATAAGAAAATAATAAGTGATTAAAAAATTAGTATCAACCTACAGCTTTTAGACATAGATGTGAAAAAGGTGACATCAACTCATTTAGCAGTCTAAGAGAAGGACAAGATGGAACATGGTGGAAATCCTCTTTCATTCACCTGTTTCTGAACAAACTAAAAGTATGGCGTATCTGATGCTTCTGAAACACATTCAGCTGACCACACTCCAGTAACACAAACCTTTCCAAACACAAACATGAACAATTTTTAAACACTATAAATAGCATCTCCTGATCCATGGCAGTGAGCTCTCCTTAAGAACTGGGAACAGTAAAACACAAGATGAACTCCAGCGGTTCATGCACAAATGCCCATCTCACCCAACACCATCCAGTTACCTCCAGTAGGACACCACAGGGAAATGGGAGGAGCACAAGGGAAGCAGCCAGGAAGTGAGGTTTTAGCAGAGCATTCCAGCAAAGAGAATGGCTCATATTGTCAGCAATATGTGGAAAACCTGAGGGCATTTTATGGCACCACTCCTCAGATCCTAGTGCTGCCTACCAAGTACTAAGTAGCCTGTACTGTATGAGTAAGAGAGCAGTCTACAGAAACATGGATTATCCCATTCAAGGAGTTACTGTTTGAACAGTAAAATTTAAAAAAAAAATTAAGTCACTTTTCCCCACTCAAGGGGATTTATAGGAGTACTTCTCACCTTGCTGTCCATTCTTTACGCAGCTTTTGTCTCTCCTTAAGAAGGAGCAGGAAGCAGTTGATGGTCTCATTCCTTTGTTCCTCAATTTGTTGCTCTTTTCTAACCTCAGAGACGACCAGACTTGTCTTAAAGGGAGGAAACATAAAAATTATAATCTAGAAATAGGAAACAATGTGTAAAATTAATAAAAAGCCCATAAGCAAATAAGGACAGTAAATCAATAGCTTTTTTTATTACAGTTTCACTGCTGACAAATCAATACAGTAAATGATGGTTAGAAATAGCCACCATATATTTGGTATTTAATCAATATACATGGCACATAAGGTAAACCTTAAAATCTCATTGCCTTAAGTATCACACTAAGACACTGTGCATTCTAGCCCACATTTTCTTGAGGCATAGTGATTTTATAAATATTTTATTGTATCAAACAATATCAGAAGTATTTTCCTCAATGTAGCATTTGCTTGGGGGACTTCACCTTCTTTGCTCCTTGGTAAAGCTGTTGAAGAAAATACTTGTTTGTACTGTACATGCTGAATGGAATTTCTGCCGATGTAGACATGTTCTTTTTATCATTAAATACTTCAAATAAACAAGTAATGAAGACTTTTCACACATGGAATAGATTTAAAACTTCTCAAAAATATACATATATACATGCAATGGATTTAAATAATCTGTGAAGCAGGATGACACTCAGTCTTTGCAGAGCAAGTGTTACTGCAATTAAAGTGTTAGAGCAATTAATGTTGATGTAAGAGAATTGGAGATGTTCTTATCACACCCCTTTATCCTCCCACCAAGCTAACTCCAATTCCCTCACTCCATCTTTTCCTACTCCTGCACCATTTTTTCCTCTTCCTTCCCCTGCACTTCCCCATGTCTGCCAAGCTGGGAAGGAAATGGCTGATGCTCAGCTACCAACCAGTCCTACATCCACCAGTGCCCACGTGCTCCTCCATGTGCAGTGTCCCCCATGGCAGAAAATCAGTCTTTTCCTTAAGGGAAGATATTATATCGCCTCTAATAGACATGGTATTATTTTTGATATTCTAACCTCCAGTCACATGTTCTGTAAACATATCAAAGCATCTAAATGCTTTTAGGAAGGATGACAGAACAGATGGAATTCTTGCACAAACCTGTTTTCTTTTCACTGAAAAGGAGGCAAAAAAATAAGTTTCTGACCTGGGAAGTTGTGCATGTGGGTTTGAAAAGACAACCAAACGTAACCAAGAGGTGCAATTCCTATTCCCAGCATAACCTTCCTTATTGGAACAACGTGACAAAACACATGGCATTTTGCCTCCTCTTCAATGTCACATAACATTACATTCTGTCCTGCCCAATTAAAATTCCTCAAGGAATTCTGTAAGAGAAATTATTGCTATTATCTTCAGTTTGTGAAAACTGAGAGATCTAACCTCATTCTGATAGGTTTTTGGGTTTTTTTCCACAAGAAACAATAACACACAGATAACACATTTCTTAAGCTATTAACGTAGAATTGTTATTGCTATGGTTGTTCCAAGAGAGAAGCATGACAGGGTTCACAGAGACAGAAAATAACTTTATTGCACCAACATCACATGCAAAGAACAAAAAGCATTTTTCTCCCCACCTCCCAGCTCTATTAGCTGGCCTACCAAAAGGCATTACCCCATGATATGGGACTTAAACATCAAAAATAACATTTTCTTGTAAAAACCCCAAATGTTCAAAACTCAGTCTATACAGATCACATTCCTGACCCTGCTTTGACATTACAAAGCAAACATAAAGCCAGAGAGCATTTTCAGATAAGGATTGCATGACATGGGTTTCCTTGCACTGACCTACAACATCTTTTCCACAACCTCTAATATCTGCCAACTTCAACAGTCCTGACCTTAGAGCCTCATTTCCAGCAGCTGCACAGTTTGAAGCAGGATTTGATAGAGGACTTCAGCAAGTGAAACAGGCTCACATGAGCTGATGTTCTTTAATGGTGAAAATTAGCACTCCTTGTCATTCATAAATATACCAAGGCTTTCATTTTTATACTTACCATGTACAAGATTTGACAGAGCACTACAACCAGGGTTTACCTCTGTATTATAGGATGATCACACAGCCATACAAGCTAGGCCACTGCCCACCACTATTTCCCTTTCAGAATGTTTGGATGGCCATTTTATTCACAGAGGGACAGGACAATCCATTGGTGATGATGAGATGCCTGCTTCTCCCCAAGACTTCAAGAAAGTCCCAAGTTGAATGATGCCATGCCTCCTAAAGCTAAAAGTACAGTTATTTGCTGCAAGAAACATCAAGATCTCCTAAACAAATTATTCAGAAAGTGTAGAGCATGGAAAACTGGGAGTTACTAAAGAATTTTCAGTTAAAATCTGATAAAAAAGATGATGCCAATATAGTATTATCAGTCAGAGATGGGTGATCACTTCTCCAAGTATTCACAATCACACTGTATGTGATATGGTACGAATTCTGTTGACCTGGGAAAATTGCAGTGTTGGTCCTGAGTTTCATTAAGAAAAGTTCCCTCCATCTACAGAGACATCATAATTCCGGAAACTGAACATAATTTATTTTTTACTGAAAATATAATAATTTTTCTCCAGCCTTCTGTTAACACCTTTCATTTATGTGGTGATGTACATGGCTCAAGTCAAATGCATAGTTTGACACTGACATCATAAACGCTTCTTTATTGAGCCCTGTGAGTACAGTCACAGCTACCTGGAGGGTGAAATAGTATTATTAAGCAACAACAACAATACATAGCAATTTAACTGATTTACTTGTTTTCTAAGACTGCTGAAAGGGCAGTAAGGTCACCTGGAATGCCAGTGCAGGGCTTGATGTGTAGCTTTTATAGAGGCATTTCTTTATAACTTGCTATTCTTATAATTGTAATAAAAATCTTGAATTGTAACAAATAAAGCAGCATTCTGGGTAAAATAATATTATAAAGCATGTTCCTTTGCAAGTTGTCTTTTCCATGTAACTTGTTTTGGGATTTGTTTTTAACAAGGGGATTCAATATATACTTCAACTGATAAAGGTCAAAGGTTCAAGAAACTCGGTCAAAGATGTTATCAGCTGGGAAAGCCATTTCCTCACTTCAACACTGATAAAAACCCATCAGAAACCCAGCTGATACAACCCTTGCTCTAAAGAGCAGGAATGACCTTCTTTTGAACATCACTATAGTTGCACATCCCATCAAAGAAAATCTGATCTTGTGTCTCAATTCTTTTAATGACAGATAATTGCCTGCAGAGGCCCCCTTTGCCCAATGCTGAGTGAAGCCTTCACAATTCTGAACTGGACTCAGCACTGACTCGGGTTTTCAGCACACTTGGGATTGCAGGACAGTAGAAAAAATAAACAATGCAACCAGCCCTACAGCCTGTCTTATCTCATCCTTGTGTTCACAGAGATTCTTGAGGGTAGTAATGTTTGCAAACTGGTGAGACTTTCTTTCTTCTGCTTCCTGAGCTGTCAAAAAACATATCCTGGACAACCTAAGCAATGAGATTACACAAATTGCTTATCATTTGTGGGAAGCAACTCCTTGTCTCATTGGCCAGCATAGCTCTTTAATAAGCAGTACTGCTAGTATTTTCAGTAAATTTACCCAATTCTCTTGCAGATCTAGAAGGGTATTTAGGGCTTTCATTGTAAAACCCAAATGGCACAAGTCTTAAAAACAAACAGCTCAGCTCTCAAAAAGCCTAAAGCTATACACACACATATAAATATATGTATATGTACACATGTAGCAGGAGCAAATCCAGCCTTTCACATTAAACATAGTATTTAGGAAACTACTCTTTGCCTTCCTCCTGGTACAGCAGCAGAGCTAAATTTAGGCATATCAGGCAAGAGCCATCAGAGCATCTTCTCTCATTATATAAGAAAGGAAGGTTCTAAGATTAGATTTCAAATGACCAACACCCTATTTCTCTCATTATCACCAACAAAATACATCAGTGACACAGGATTGAATAGAAGCTCTTATAACCAAGTCTTTCTATTCACCCAGGATACACACACAAAATTAGACACCTAACAAAGCCAATCTAGGTATTTTCACAGGTTTATAATAATATTTTTTCCTTAAATATGAAGCACAAGAAACTGTTTTAACATAAATAGGCCACTACCCCGCTCAACTTTATGTCCTGGGTGAATATCACAACATGCTTACAAACAAGAAAAACCAACATCTAAACATTCCAAACCCCTCACTAATACATTTTCAATTTTATAAAGCTAGATTTTCTTCCTTCCTTCAATACAGACCCCATGAGGAGTCAGATGTAACACTGTATAACTGGAGACATGAAGCTTACTGTTCTGTCAAACAAATTAGCCTTTAGTCTGAACTAAAGTGGCACTTGGGACAGTTTGCCTCTTGGTCTACTTTGATGGGTCAACAAATCAGATTTTTCACTCAAAGTTAAGATTTGATTTACTCATCACCAGTTTAAATAGGATAAACTTCTGAATTTTTACCAACCATTTCTACTTTAACATAGCTGTCATCTCTAAAAAATCAATAACTAATACAGAAAGGAAAAACAAAGAGTAAAATCTGTAAGCACAGTTAGAATGCCATTCTGTATTTTCCCTGTTATTTTTGTCATTTTATTTGCTTTCAGTGAAAGAAGTTTCCTGAAGAAATTCTATGAAACTAGAACATGGTCCCTTTTAGAGGGGATGGAAAAAGAACCTGAAATCTATTAAGCCATGTTAATTTAACATGTTGTAACTCCTCCATGATAAAAAAAGCTAGTAATTTATTACAAAATCCTGCTCATTTCTTCTTTACATTTAAAATTTCTACTTAAAATACGAGCAAATGGGCCCATTTTCATTGATATGATGGGAACAGCCAGTATGGTTTAAGTTATCACCCGGTAATTTCAGCACATTAAACCCAATTCTCTGCCTTTTGTTTATTAATTCACTATGCCAGATATCACAGTTTCACTCAGCAACCCTCATGTTCTGGATGATATTGAAAAATGAGTCATGTTTGTCAAAGAAAGTTAAAAAAAAAGGTAAAGAGGAAAAAAGTGTTGTTTATAGAAGCCAGCTGCTCTGGCTTTGG